CCTGCCAGAGAAATAAGGGACTTGGAAAATGGGCCAGTTGAGAAACTATTGAAGGAAGAAGTAGTTCACTTTAAAAATGAAAGGAGTGCAGAGGAATCGGGGAGCAGGGAGGGCATTAGGAAGAATAGCTAATGCATGCCAGGCTTAATACCTAGGTGATGGGTTGATAGGTGCAGCAAACCACCATGGCACACGTTTACCTATGTAACCTGCACATCCTACACATGTACCCCGGAACTTAAAATAAATTTAAAAAAGAAAGGAGTAAATATAAACATGATGTTGTTTCCATACATTAAAATGTGGGCCATTTGGAAGAGGACTAGCCTTGTTCTCTTAGATCCCTATGAATGGAACTAGAGCAGTAGTGTGGCAGTAATTAGAGCAGTTCACATTTATTAACCATTTGCTATAAGTTGACCCCCCTGCACACATTCATTCTTTAAACCTTACTAGCATGAGTGAGGTACAGCACAATGATTGTGCCTGTTTCACAGGTGAAGAACAAGAAGGGAGTTGAGATAATGACCAGGGTGTCCCAGCTAGTAAGTGGCAAAGCTTGGGCTGAAATCCAGGTCTGTCCCCCTCAGGGCCAGTGTTCTCAGCCATTTTCCTCCACTGCATTCCTGTTGGCAGAATTCCAATCAACATGAGGGAAAATTTCCAGGTAACTAGAACCACTTAAAAAGGGATCAGATACTTTGTTAGAGAGTGAATTGCCTATCAGTGATGAATCCTGACAGACAGAGATGCTGGCTTGTATCCAGGCCTGATGACCCCACAGCTTTCTTTCTACCCTAAATTGTTGTTGTTGTTGTTGTTGTTGTTGTTTTTCTATGATCTTGAGAGAAGCGAGTTTACCTATAGATGAATAGTTTGAGAAGGGGAGTATTGGTGGTGAGTCTGGTGGTTTTTAAAATCACGTTGTCCACCTAAATTCCAGCATGATGATAAACCCAAAATCCAGTTTCTTCCAGATGTTTTTCTTTCAGTCATTTATGGTAAGTTCTGTGGACATATCATGCATCTGCAGAAAGGTTTATTACTGTGTAAAAGCATAACAGTTCTGTTAGTAAGTAAAAATTGTAATGCTGTACACATTTTGAAATAAAAGTAAGAAATTTTAGGGCCAGCTGTGGTGGCTCATACCTGTAATCCCAGCTACTCAGGAGGCTGAAGCACAAGAATCACTTTAACCTGGGAGGCAGAGGTTGCAGTGAGCCAAGATTTCACCAAGAAAAAAAAAGAGAGAGAGAGAAAGAAAAAAGAAATTTAAAGGAGAAGAAATTTTAGGAAAGTTGAAGGGGGAATAAAACCTTATAAAACCTTATTAACATTATATGAACCATTTTGGTATCCTCCTCTTTATAATTATAGTGAAAGTTGGGAAAATTGACTAAGGTACTTTTTGGAAGCAGGATTATCAGAACTACCTTAGACTGACTTAAGGATAAAGATGAAGAAGGAAAGAAAAAGGGAAATCTTTCCTATTCTCTTGAGCACTCACCTTCCTCTACTCTCCCCCAGTTTCTACCACCCCCATAATCACAGTGCTTAAGAAAACCAAGTAATGGAGAAATAAGGGTTCTTGGAATATATTTCTTGATCTGGAAATTTGCGCCCAAGAGACCTTAATTTGCTGATTTATTAGTTTGTTGATGAGTGAGGTCGCATGGAAAAACTTTCTGCCTCTTGGTTATGTTGGAGGAAACTTTTCTAAGCTTTAACTAGCTGACTTTTTGGTTAGCTAGAGATTATTTACTTTTAATAACAACATGCTAAGTTTCTGAAATCAGACATAGCAGAGCAGTCTCCAGAGAGCTGTGGTCCAAAGGCAGTAGCTGCATCCCTGTACAGTTCTTTTCAGATTTTCTGAAAAGATGCTTTATCTGTTAAGGTTAAGTTAACCTTGGCTTAGTGCCGTTCCTCTGTTCCTTCCACATCTCTGTCTTGTGGGCATGCCAGTTTGCATTCAAATCTGCTGTATCAGTTTTAAATCCAGTTCTCAGTCCTTTGGGTATTACATAAGAATAAATTAACTAAAGAATCCAAGAAGTTTTACGTGTGATGCTGAACTAACTGGATCTGACTTCCTTGGGGAAAATGAATAGCCAGGCAGATCACACTGTAGATGTTCATTAATGACAGCTGGAACACCTCCCTCCCTTCTAAGCAGGCAAGGAACCTCCCATGTGCCAATCACTGTGCTGGCACTGGGGATACCGAGATGTGTTCCTTGTTCCTTCAAGGAGCACATATAAAAACATCATAGTGTGAGATATGTGCTGTGGCAAAGTTGAGCCCCAGGGTATTCAGCAACTCAGACTACTGAAGAAAAGGGAGGGGAAGGCTGCTCTGAACCAAGTCTTGGAGGCCGCCAAAGGTGTTCACAGCAGTTGCAGAGTTGGAAAAATGCACACACCTAGTTCTGCAGGCCTGTGTAGGTCAGGACTCTGAAGGGAGATGACCGCGGAAAGGTAGGTACACCATGCTAAGGAGTTTGGACTTTATCCTAAAAGCAGTAGGAAGCCTTTGGATGGCTTCAAGAGGAAAATGATGGGATGTAATTTGTCTTTTCAAAAATAACACTTTGCTAGCAATGTAGAGAATGGGTTCACAATAGGTGAGTTAGGAAGCAGAGCAGCACACTGTTTAGAGGATGTTGTAAAAATCCAGGTGAAAAATGAGAACTCTTGATGATCAATACCTTGGAGTTGAAGAGAAGAACATAAACCAGAGACATATTAGGGAGCGAGTCTGCAAGGAGCTTGCTCATGAGTGATGGATATTGGGGAACAGTGGAGGAAGCCATTGAGAATGACACCTGGGTTTCTGGCTTGAGTAGGTATGGTGTCCCCTTATCAAGATGGGACTTGGGGAATTTTGGGGAATATGATGAATTCACTCAGGTGTATGAGGAATTTGAGAAGCTTGAGAACCATTCAGGAGGAGATGTCCAGGAAAGTTGGCTGAATGGGCCTGGAACTCAGGCAGGAGATGCTGAGATACAATTGTTGATTTGTCCCGTTGATGTTAGGAAGACAGTTTGGCATCATTAGAAGGATAGGGGACTGGAAACCACACTAAACAGCCTCTATTTCATTTAGAGATGATAGACATGTGAGATGTACTGAAATGCCTGCTAGCTGAGTTTAGCAGAGAAACTGCAGTCCCCAAGGTGAACTTGGGCTTTTTCACAGTATTGTTTTCCTCTCTGTGCCCACCTTTCTTTTGAATTTTCTCCAGGCTTCTTGGGGTCCTGCGGCAAGAATCTCAGTTACTAGGCTGTTTAGAGGCTACATCAGTAAGGGGATGTAAGATGGCATTTTACTAACTATTCTACCTCCTCAGTAACTAGTGGAAGTGTTACTATTAGTAGTCCCATTGTACAGATAACAAAACTGAGCCTCTGAGGGGTGACATAGCTTACTTCTTAGTAAGTGGCAGAGTTGTTGATGAAGTTGCCGACTCTAAATCCCATTCTCTTTCTTCTGCGCAGCACAGACCTACACTAAAACAAATCAGGCCTGTTAAATGCTTGAATGAAAGCCATCAGTGTTGTTAGTGGTGAAAAATGTTTTGTGGAAATGATGTGGCCTCTTAGGTGCTACCAAGAGCAATACTCTCCTTGGACTGCCCAAAACTAATTCCACTGATGCACCCGCCCCAACTCCCTGCACCGACCCCACAGCAGTCAGACCTGGAGGCTCGGGGGGGCCCTGTCCTAAGCCAGCTTAAGATGCAGCCTCTAGGGCCTTGCTTATAATTTTCCCCCTTTCTCCGGCCTTCTCTTCTCCCTACCTCTGCCCACCTCAAGCAGCCAGAATGATCCTTTAGTTTAAAGCATAAGCAAGTCAGTCCTCTGCTCAAAAGCTTCTGATGGCTTCTCATCTCACGTAGAATATAAGCCACAACCTTCAAAGCCTTCTACATTTTGGCCTCTGGCTGCATCTATGACCTGGTTGCTGACCATGCTCACTCCACTTGAACCACACTCCGTCGAGCCTCCCTAGGTGTTCCTTGAATGCTTTTAACACCTTCTGAACACTGCAGGGCTTGTAAACTTGCTGTTCCCACTTCCTGCCATGGTTTGGCTCAGGTATCTCAGTGACTGACTCCCTTCCCCCATTCGGATCTCGGCCTCTCAGTGAGACCTCCCTGGCTACCCTGTCTAAAATAGCCCCCATCATGCTCCATCCCTTAGTCTGCCTTATTTTTCTTCATAGCACTTATTTTATATTTGCTTATTGTCATTGCCTACATGTAAGCTCCATGGGTTCAGGGGCTTTTTCTGTCCTGTTCCTGTTGTGTCCCTGGCTGCTGGGATAGTGCCTGGCCTGCAGTGTGCACTCAGTGGCATTGATTGAATCATGGAATGAACACATGGATGCTGTGGTCCAGGCAGAGAGGGGACAGAGAGTGGGATCACTATCACCAAAGGAACTAAGAGTATCTTAGTCCCTCCCAAGGTGGTAAGCATTGCTGGTTCCCCAAGTCTCTGCATTTGGGGATAATTGTAAGCAGGCATCAGAAAACGTGTGTGCATCTTTCTGAGTAAGAAGCAAGTTTGTTGCTCTGATAAGGATGGGAGTGATTTTTCCTTCTAACACACAAGTTACAGGGACAGGTTGGCCACCTCAGGAAATGGTTAACAATAGTGTCGTTTCCACTGTACCAAATCTGAAAGTCGCAGTGTTAGTGTTTGTGGAACCTGTTGAAAGTGCCTCCTGCACTGTGACTTTTTGATCCCAGAGAAAGAAGACTTTCTGTAATAACTTGGCTCTCATGAGCTGTGCTTCAGAGTATCCTTAAACAGAGCTTTCCTGGTTAGAGATTTGAACCTAAGGCCATTTTCAATGCATTTTTTCTGTTGTTCTTCCTTTAGGATCTTCTATGTCTCTCATGATTCCCAAGACTTGAAGATCTTCAGCTATATCGCTCGAGATGGAGCCAGCAATATCTTCAGGTGTAACGTCTTTAAATCAAAGAAGAAGGTAAAGAGGCGGTCGCCGTCCATCTGCTATTTTCCTGTAATAGATCCAGAGCACCCCCAACATTGGCCCGTCTCCCTGTTGAAGATGGCTGTTGTAATGCTGACATGGGGCAACTATCTCAGTAGTCTGTCATTGCTCCTATATAATGGAATTCTCTTTTAGCATCATCTGAACTTTGTACTTAGTTACATACAGATAATTAGAGAGGGATTGACCATTGACTATGTGCTCTGGGATGAGAGCAATTAAACGGCACCAGGAGTGATGCTAACCTTAGCCCTGGAGTAGGAAAAAAACGTTGTCATGTACTAAGGAGACCCTTCATCATAATTCTGTATATTGATTAGTGGGCTACAAAATATGAATACACATGGAGTCCGGTTTAGACTCAGTGTGTGATGTTGGTTATCCTGGGTGATTATTTGGTATGGCAACCCTGATACTCAAGTAAATGCAACTCTAAGGATTCTGAAGAGGCATTCTTTATATTAATGTAATTTCCCCAGGGGTCTAACACACACAACTGGGGTTTCAGAAGCCTAGAATCTAGCCCTGCCTCTCACTGGAACCCTGAGTGACATTGTGTAGGTCTCGGTGTCCTCATCTATGAAATGAAAAGAATCATCAAAATCAGCATTTCCTAAATGTGTTCTGTAAAACATTTATCAGCCAAAATGTTTTCTGTTAAAACTACCTGATTTAAGTTGCTGAGAAGATCTGATAAAGAACATGTTGTTTAACCCAGAATTTCCCAAACTAATTTCACAGTGGAACCATATTTTTTCCATGTAATATGTGTTAATATCCTGGGAACTATTTTTCTGCAGAGGAGATTTTGGAAAACACTGTATTTGTGCCCCTAAGGACCCTAATAAGTCCACCATTCTACAAACAAACTACTAAACCTGGCTTTCTACGAGAACTTCATTTTATGCATCTTTTATCTTCAGGCCTCTTTAATAGATATGTAGGTACCTTGTCAAGTACCTTGTCAATAACACATGCCAGGCTCCAGATTTACTGATAGGTGTCCTATTCCGTACCCTAGCTCCACAAAGAGAATTATGCTTTGTTAACTCAGCCTCTTCCTCTATGGAGATTTGTGCCCTTACCCACCCTGTTCCAGGCTTTTTAAATGCAGATCATGGAGTTGGATGAAAAGTGCTACAACTGGAAAGATGGCAGGAATAAAAGAGTAACTCGCCAGACTTCACATCTAGATAATAGTATAGCTGAGAGGGAAAAAAACATAAATGAGGCTAAGTCAAGCTGCATTAAGGAACTGATAGAAAGGGGAGTAGGAAGAGGGAGAGAAGGAAAAGCCATAGGCACTGGAGATGAGAAAGTTTAGGGTTTGGGAGAGTGAAAGGCTCATATGTGGCCTTGTGTAGGGGACCTGGGAAGGAGAGAAAAGGAAATACGAAGTGTTCCTGATCATCATGAATTGGATCATCTGTAATGTTCTTTGACAGATGCAACAAAAGACTGGAATTCCCTTTTAATTCATTTTGAGTATTTGACTGTGCTTCTGACTTTAGTTTTGTACAAAGACTGGACCATGTGGACCTTGGAATTTATTAGCATTACAAATAACACATAATCATTTGCCAGGTTCTTTAATAGTTAATCTTATTTAATCCTTATAACACATTTGTAAAGAAGGTAAGACATGTAATTTTCCCTTCCCAATTTTACAGATGAATAAATTGAGGCTCAGAGAGATTAAATGACTTGTCTGAGTTCTCATGAATAGGTGCTGGCTAGAATAGAACCAGGAAGACATGCAGGACAAAAGAATTTTGAGCAGGAAACCTAGGTAAGAGGACCATTATATTATATTTGCCTTGCCATCAAATCTAACGTAGCAATATGGACACAGTGGGGGCATCCACTTCTGACAAAACCTGAGTTTAAGAGCAGTGCTCACTTGGAACTTTGATCTTGAAGTGAAGCACAGAATGGAATTCCCATTATCCGTAAAAAGGAGTAGTCATCTGGTTCCCTGTCATGTCAGCTTGCAGCTCTTACAGCGAATTCTGATATCTAGCTCTTGTTTCCTATACCCCTTTCACCCTCACCTCCTGAGACCCTAGCTCTTCATAGAGTTGGTTCTCAGGTCCTTTCCTGGCCTGGAGCCATGCAGCTGAGGGGATTGTTTCCAGTCAGCCTGGACGTTGAACCCCATTGCTGCTGAGCTGTAGGTGGGAAGGCCAGTTTCCAAGCTAAGAAAGGGAAGTGAATTGTTCAGCGAAGGATGCCAGAATTGGGGAGGGCTGGGGAACACATCTGCCAGGTTTTGCTTGCCCTCCTGCTTAGCCTCCAAACGTGGTGATTTACGTTTTTTATAAAGCACTTGTAATGTCAAGAGATAATGGTTAACTTGGGAAGGAGTTTTAACTGGCAAATCATAGGAATGTTTCAGAAGTGACGGGCGATGGGGAAAGGACTGTAGAGGACATGTGTGTTGCAGAGATGTTGCTGGGTCATTGGAAGTCAATAGGGAGGCCTCTTGACCGGAAGCCCGCAGATGTGGATGTTCTCCGGAGCCCTCCTGTTGGTCATAGTGTGTAGAAAAACTTTGTCTGAGATCCTTGTTATGTCGGGACTTTGGTTATTGCTGTTTCACATCACATCATATCACCTGTGTATATGCCCATGGCACATTTCTCATGACCTCTAATGAGATGTCATCATCACCCTACAGTTCACATGGGGAAAGGGTTACCACCTCTGTTGGTTGAGAATATGGGTCAGGTGTCTCAGCTTTCCTGGTTGAGGGCCTCCCTCGACCTTGCTCCCTGCACAGCTATTACTCTGTACCTGTGAATTCCTTGGGCCACTCACACAGATAGCCAGTGTGGCTCCCACCTTGGGAGTTGTATCCTTGAGCTAATTTTTTTTTCAACTGGGCTTTCACCAGAAGCTAGATAGCAAAATATTGAAGGAGTATAACATACCTGCTATGCTTCTATACTCCAGATTATCTAAGTTCCAGCCTCATATTACATCAAATAATAATATCTAACCTGTTTTGATTAGTTGCTATATGCCTGAGACTGTTCGAAGCTCTCTACATGAATGATCTAATTTTATTCCCACAGCAACCCTGTGAGGTAAAATGGTGCCTTAAGGCACGTAATGTGTGTAAAGACTCAGTAAGTAATGGAGTCAGAACTGAACCCAGAGGGTCTGACCGTGGAGCTCACACTCTTACCCACTCCATTATACTTTTGTTGTTGGCTCATGAAGAAGTTATGTAACTCAGAAGTTCCTTTGTTTTCCAAGACCCATTTGTAACTGGGTTCTGCTGTAATTATTACATGGGTATGAAGAGCTTCTTAACTCTGAATGGCCCAAATCACTTTAACATAGATTTTCCTTTTTTCCTCATAATATCCTTGTATGGTTAATATTGACTCAATTTTGTACTTGAAGAAAGAAAAGGCCCAGGGAAGTAAATCACCCTTGGTCACACAGCGAATCAGTGATGCCACTGAGATTAGAAACAGGCTTCCTCCTTCCCAGGCCAGGACTTTGAATGCTAACCCCTGTTACACAAAACTCATATGAAAGATACGTGAGCCTTTCTGGACTTCAGTTTTCTCTATCTGTCAAATAAGATGAAAGACATCTCAGGAATGCTGATTGTTGTGTGTGAAGTGACGTGATCTTTAAGGAACAAATTCTCTATGACTGGGGAGGATTGTCAGGGTTGTGGCGGAGGGACCCTAGCACTCTTCAGACCTGTGCTAGAAAGGAGGGATGGGAGTGGGTCTTTTCCTCACTGTGAGCATCCAGTGGAGATGCTTGCTAATAACATGGGCATTGCTTGTTTCCCCTCCTTGGGGGATATAATGATAGTATTCATTTGCAGGGCCTTTTGCCTCTGGAGAAGCCTCTTGCATGGTCTCTTGACCTCTCCCGTGGAGTAGATGTCATCCTCCTGTCATTTTCTCCTAGCCCTAGGAGTATATGGCTGTCTGCCCTGATTACCAGTGACTGCACTTATTAATGCCTCAGTGCGTGAAGTGCTGGTGATTAACAGGAGCTGCAGGCATCTCCCCATTATCTTCATGGGCAGCTCCTTGAAATAATTTTGCCTGCAATCACAGCTCAATTGGTTTGGGTTAGGAGAAATAATTTCCTCCTATAATGCTGTCACTATCAAATTGGAGGCCACAGCTGTGAAGTTGAACTATCCTTTAGAGGTTGCAATGGATTTTGAATGATGATGACAGCCATGTGCTAAAGAATAAGTCACTTGCCTGGTCAAGCTTATGAGATGAAAGATAGGAAAGTTCTAAAGTTAGGGAAGGAGTCTGTTTTTTATACTTTAGGTTGCGTTGGGAAGTCAAAATGCAGGAATCATGGGTCTCAGAACTCATCTAGTCTGAATCACTCTCTTTATGGATGAGAAAATCAATACTGAGAAAGGTGAATTAACTGTCCACAGTCACCCAGTTGGTTCTGACAGCACTGGGATTGTAACTCAGATTTCTTTTCTCTAGGGTACTATGTTTCATGGACTAGCAGAGTAGAAGGAAAAACACAGCTATCTATTGGAAACTTTAAGATGCAGTATGTCCTGTCAATGTAGAAAGTCACACCTGCTTTGAAACTAAACTTTCCTTATACCGAGCAATATTCTGATGTCCAAGGCATCACCTCAACCAAATTATATAACCGAATCCATTAAATAATGTGTTGGACAAAAACCTAACCCATCTACCATTTTAGAGCCTTAGTACTGTAGATCCTACTGTGTATAGAAGTCCAAATATAAATGTATGTTCATGCTTTGGCATTGTAAATTCCATAGATTAAGATCATTTGATAGATATAAGCTGAATCTTTTACTAAGATTCCCCCCCCCACCCAAAAAAATACATTAAAGAAACATGACAGTCTGTTCTATTTTTGTTGAGATTCCATGGCAGTTAAGGTCAAGATAAGGACATTATCTTTTATTGCTGTGATAGATGAGAATTATAAATCTGTGAGCTGACCTCATGGACTTCTGTTCTCTAAAATTCAGAACCACTTGTCAGTCAAATTTGAGTACTCAAAAGAGATGGGGGAGAGGAGGAGTGGAGGAGGGGACAGGGGAACAGTAAACTAGAGAGCTGGTAGATCATTAAAGAACCTTACCTTCAAGATGTGTGCCCCCATTATTCTCTTTTTTCTCCTCTTATTATTGTCATTGTCATCATCATCTTCATCTGGTATTTTGTACTTATACTCTCCACTTGCTTATCTGATGACTCTTAATCCTCTTTGTAAGTTGTAAAGAGAGAGCTTCTTCCAGGACAGTGAAATTCAGAACAGTGCCCAAGATTATTTATCAAATCAGCTACAGAATATGACTAATAAGAATCATTCTTTACATGTATATAGCACTTAAAGATTCCCAAATTTTATAAGACCAACCAACTACAAAGTCACTAAGAAAGAAAATAGAAAATAAAATCATGGTCTATGGCCATACCACCTTGAATGTGTCTGATCTCATTAGCTAGGCAGGGTCGGGCCTGGTGTGTACTTTGATGGAAGAAAATAAAATCATGATTGACTATAATTTTTCTATGGGCCAGTGAGGTACAGGAATCAACCTTTCGATTTATGCCTTCCTAAAGCTACCACTGTCAGCTTTTGTTTGCTTTTGGGTGTACAACCCACAGTGATTGCAAATATAGTGTTACTTTCATGACCATTGCTACAGTTCATCAAATGTTGACTCCTGCTAGGTATGAAGTTGATACTCACATTAGGTGTACTGAGGAGAACAGCTGTTCATTGCATTTGGACTTAACTTTGGTTCTGGTTTGAGGGATGTCCTAGGGTTGTGGGAGAAGGAGCTGTGTCAGCGTGAAAAGATGGGTGGTTTGAAGAAACATTGCTGTGCGTATAAGGTAAGTGTATACAGTTCTAAGCTTCCTTTCCCCCTGTATTTTAACAAAATTGCCTGTAATTGACACTCCCATGAGCTTCAGTGCTCTCCATCTGGAGCTAAGAGCCACTCTGAGGTTAGACATCCCTTTCCAGCTTTGAAAACATCAAAGCAACAATATACAGCCTAATCTTGACAATGAAGAGCCCACAAATGCTCTGGGGCTACTAATAGAAAATGGCTTTTGGACGAGAAGATTTGATCCGTGTGGCAAAGCACTTTTAGGGGCTTATGTAAAACTAAACTGGATTTATACAGAAATAATGCAGTATAATGATGCTTTAAAAAAAAAATCTAGTAAATTCCAGAGAATGGCCAGATTTTGGAACTCAAAAAGGCTGCCTTCTCAATATTCCACTTGTTTACTCCTTGTACCTCACTGCCTTCAATCTTTAAACCTCCGCCTTAGTCTCCAAAGGCCTGTATGTCGTCATGAGGTGGGAGCAACTGCTTCACTGTGATCTAGAAGACCCACAGACAAGCATTCATAAAAACTTCTGGAAGGGATTCTTTTTAAAGCTGCTGTTTACCAGAGTTCTCCCTCTTGGGTGAAGACATGGCTAATTAACAATAAAATCCCAGCGTGTATGATTCTTGCATTTCGGGGTTGAAGGCAAAACCAGTTTTCTTGCCCAGCAGGCCAGAAAGTGGGGTAACTAAGTGGGGGTGGCCTAGCAGGCAGGAGCCAGCATGGTTGTGCAGAGAGCAGATGGTGAAGACACAGCCCCTGCCAGGCACAGGCTGCCTCTACTGACCACCTTTAAGTAATCACCTCCCCAATGAGGTCTCCATATAGAATCCTCTAAAAGTAGACTTTTTAATGGTGAAGCAAGGAGAGCCTAAAAGGTCAAGGGACATCAGAACTCACATAGCCGTTTATGAGTACAGTGAGGAGCTGTTTAGCCCCTTCTGACTCCTGGAGTGGTAGATAGGAAGGGCAATTCTTTTATGTGTATGTATGTAGTCATTCTGTAAAACAGTTAAAAGTAGCTTGATTATGTGTTCCAGTGCAGAGGACTCTTTATAAAACATGCTACTGTGTCCTTTTACTGTGAATAGGATTGTAACTTTCACATTAAAGGAGTAAAATAAAGGATAAATTAAACCATTTTATTTAATTTATTAATTTAATTATTAAACTGTTTACCATTCAGTGTGCAGATCTAGAACTCTTAATGCAACAATTTCCTCACATATAGAAACTATCATACTACTTCAGACCAAAGATCCATTTGGCTCAGGAATTTTCGTCTGATGCTATGGTGGAGGCTATGCTATCTGCTGCACAGCCTTTTGGATGTTAGCATGCATACATAAGAGGTGATTCCCTTAGTCACTTCATGTTTCTATTATGATAAAAATAGTTCCACCTTTCCTGCACTGCTTTTTCTTTTCTGTCTTAATTGCCTCTTGGCGCAGTGAATTCCATAGTCAGGATAAAACATTTCTTGAGCATTTACTGTATGCCAGGCACTGTGGTAGGTGCTATCATATATTCAGTTTTTCAGTGCAATTACAGAAATACTATAGAGAACAACTGATGGAGGGAGGATAGGAAGGAAATGGGAGGCTGAAGGATGGGATGCCCTTTCCAGAATGGGGAAGGCAGGACCAGTAAACCTAAAGTCTGCATTTTCTACTTTTTCGGGGGAATCAGGTAGAGATTAGGGTCAGCTGCTAATGCTAGTTAAAAATACTAGTAAAATGTAAAAATGAAGTGTTATCAATATTAAGCATTAAAACCAGCCCACTTCCTTATAGCCACTTTGGGCTTATAGATGGTTGAACATGTGAGTATGTTCCACATGTTTGTCCTTGATAAAGGTGGCAAAATAAAGATTTGAGCTGGAGTCTGCATCCTTAAGATGCTCAGTTCTAAGCATATCCCATCATCCATTGTCATCTTGTGATGCCTGAGAAATACAGGTCCTCTGTGAAGTCATTCTCCCACCACCTTTATCCTCTTATTTAAATCTGAGGGATTCCTTCCAAAGATAAATTTAGAAATTGGATTCCTACCCCTGTCTAATTCCATAGATCAGGGACATTTGTTTGAGGATCTTTAAATTTTTAATATCATCTTAAAAGCTGGTTAAAGGAAATATCTGTGATTTACAGAGATGATGGAATTTGTAACACGACCTCCTTAGGAAAACCTGAGATGTTATAGGAACAAACTCAGTAGTGAATTTGGAATTTCCTACATAACTGTATTTTAAAGGGGGAAGCTGGGTCTGTACCCTGGAAATGATACCGATGGGAAAAGACTAACTCAGTCTTTACAGATATTTATTCAGTATGAGATATCTGGGTTAATTCATGTAAGAGAAGAAAGTATGGAATTAAACACTTAATCTCTACACATCATTTGGACTTACATTATTTTATTGTTACAACCTAAAACATTTACCTTTTTTACCTCTTGTAAGATACCTGGGGGAGCAAAATTCCCAAAAGTCAGAGAAGAAAGTAGAGGAAAGTTTCTGTATAGTGGACACTGGGTATACGTGGTAGGCAGAATAAAGTCATACCTAAGGTTTAGTAAACTAGTAATGAGCTTTGCTGGAGATTATTAACCATAGGCAGTCTGCTCTTACTCTCATAAAAGGAATAGGAACCAAAAGGTCTCAAGGCCTAGGGGAATAACACTTTTGGACGTAGAAGCCTTTTCTTCTCCCTTTTCACCTGAGAGTTAAGCTTCCTGGCACAGCCTCCTAAGCATAGCACAGCTTGATGGCTAACGGACATGTAGAGTGCTACATTTATTAGCTTCCTAGCCCACATTTGTTAGGGACTGTGTCTTCTAAATCACACCTTTTTGTGTGCTTTGGGAGTGGGAAGTGTAGGGGCTTCTTGCTTAGGACTGATGCCTACTGCTTCTCAACTTCCTGTGCAGATAGAAGAGTCATCTCTTACACACTGTAGGCCTACAGTATGAGAAGGGGCCTAAGCCTGTCTTGTGGACACAGGAGGAAATTAAGGGTAGACATAGAAAACAAAGGTTCTGATTCACCACTGGGTGATGGTGGACCCCACAGAAGTTACCCATCTCCTCATGCTTCGCTTAAGGTTCTTATCTCCCAGAAGTGTCAGGATGCTCCAGGTGAGAGACCAATGGAGAATATCCCTGGAGTTAGTATAATGGCTAAGAAAGGTTAGAGCTGTGAAACAATTACTTCTAGGAGGAGATTTGAACTGAAGAATATAAGGAGCAGTAGAGTTGACTTGAGATCTCAAATTGACATGTAGATGATAATCAGTCAAGATGCCTTTTCACATTTATATGGATGCTCTGGCCTGAAATAAACAGAAGGAACATAGAAATGACTCCAGGCTTGAGGAAAAGCAATTTTAGAAGTTATACCCAGCAAAGAATGGACTACAACAGTTGTTCCATACACAGGGTTCCAAGGTCCCTAGGAGTTCATGAAGATAGTAATGAGAAAGATGAACTCATTGTAATATGAGCTTCATTTATGCATTTCATATTACAATTAGCTGATCTTTTTTTTTTTTTTTTTTTTTTTACTACCTTCAACAAGGCCTTCTAGGCTTATCAAAACACTGGATATGAGTTAGGTAATGTAATACCAGCTACCACATGCTAATGAAAAGCCCTACTTGATTGCTGCCATTACCTGGGGGGGTTGGATGTGATTGATGGACTATATGATGTCAACAGGTGGCCATGGCTGACCTGAAGTGAGATCATCCAAAACATGATTAATGCTAGACTTGAGTATAGGGTGACAATCACAATTAGATTAAATTGTAGCCCGTGGTGGTGGGATGCTTGAGGTCCACTGAAGTAAGAGAAGCAGTGTGCTGAGCCCTTCCCAGCCTGAGCTCTGAAACTCTAAATAAACCACATCACTCATTTCTGTCCTTGAAAGAAAGAAAAAGCTGACGTCATCAAACCATAATCAGTTATCCACCTTTGAGGCCATGCCCTGGAACCCCTGCATGTGGCTCTTCCTCACAGTCTGCATGGGTGGCCTAAGACTCTACATAAGGCTTCCTGTCTCTCCTCTCCTAGTTAAACGGTGGAATACTGGGAACTAGGGTCAAGTTCCCTTCTTGGGTTCTTAAAACAAGAGATTAAATACCAAAAGAAAAGAAAGGAAGGAGCCACAGGACAGACACAAGCACATGAGGTCTTTGGAGTAAGTCTGGGCAAGGCTCACCTTAGATTTAGTTGGCTGCCAACTAGTAGTGTTCCAGAGGAGCTGGGTGCTGAGCTTTCGTTGGTTTCTGCTGTTTAGGCCATGGCTTCCAAGCCTCATGTTACCACTGCCCTTGCTCTGTAGGAGGTCCAGGAAAACTCAACATTTGCAGCAGCATTCAAAAAAGAAAAAAATGATAGCCGAGTTCCTCTTAGTTTGATGGACCCATTGAACATTTGATCATGGTTGGCAAAAGATTCTGAAGCATATTGACTACTTGTGTTACCCATGGGAGGGAAGAATTGGGGCTAAGTCCATAATTGGCATATTTGCTATCTGTCCTTTCAGTTGACTGATTATTTCAGAACTGTGGTGACAGTTTCTGTTTTCTGGAGTATTTCAGGAAGGGAAAATGTCTTTTCACTCGTTTGTATGTGCATATCTGAGCAACTTTAGATTTTTCTGTCTCTTTCCTTTGCTGCTGCATGAGTTTCTGTCCACATGCCCCTTGCACATCCTCACCCACCCTGTTCTTCTCCTTTCTCCTTCCCAGAGCCAAGCTATGAGAATTGTTCGGACGGTAGGGCAGGCCTTTGAGGTCTGCCACAAGCTGAGCCTGCAGCACACGCAGCAGAATGCAGATGGTCAGGAAGATGGAGAGAGTGAGAGGAACAGCAACAGCTCAGGGGACCCAGGTAGGTACCGCGGCTTCTGCGGATGTGGGTCGGGAGGCAGTGCACACAGTAGGCTCCGGTGGATCACTGCCCCGAGCCCCGGGCTGTGAACTCATTTTAAGAAACATTTTATTTTTTCCGTTTCTCTCTATATTCTAGATTCTCTTTAAGGAACATGTATTACTTTTATAACGGAAATTAAAGATGTTTAAATTATTAAATGAGGAAGTATTTAAACTGGATATCAGGGAGAGGTAGAGCTGCTATGCTCCCAAATCTGACTTCAAAGAAAATTTCAGTAAAAAAGCACCCCCATAAAACAAATTACAAAGAACATAAATTTATAATTACCTAGTTTGTTTTATTAAATTTCTAACTTCTGTAGTTCTATAAGCCCTCAATGTGGATAGTATTTTAATATCCCCAACTTTCAAGCCTCATTAAAAGTCAGGAAAGAAGCCAGGCGAGGTGGCTCATGTCTGTTAATCCTAGCACTTTGGGAGGCTGAGATGGGCAGATCACTTGAGCCCAGGAGTTCAAGACCAGCCTGGCCAACATGGCGAATCCCTACCTCTACTAAAAATACAAAAATTAGCCAGGTGTGGTGGTACATACCTATAGTCCCAGCTACTTGGAAGGCTGAAGCAGGAGAATTGCTTGAACCCAGGAGGCAGAAGTTGCAGTGAGCCAAGATTGTGCCACCGTACTCTAGCCTGGGCTACAGAGCTAGACTGCCTCAAAAAAAAAAAAAAAAAAGGAGACAATAAATGTGAAAAAATGAAGTATAGGCAAGAAAAAGAGCAGGTAAAAAAAATATATTGCTTGTGTTCATATTTAACATGGGAAACCCAAGAAAATAAACTGAGAACTATTAGAAATAATAAGAGAATTCAGCTAGAAAGTCAAAGTTAAATAAAACATACAGATATATCTGTGATTTTCATATATTCCAAGAACAGCTGGTTAGAAGTCATAGTGGAGGAAAAAATCTTTTAAAATAACAATTAAGAAAATAAGATACTTATGTTTCCTCTGAAAAAAAATCTTAAACAAATGGAAAGGCATGGCATATTCTTGGATGGGAAAGCTCAATGTCATAAAAATGTTAATTCTCCCTTTGTTAATCTATAAATTTAACATGACAATACAGATTTCTAACAGCAGAAGAGGCACCACAATAAGCTACAGTATTCAAAACCCATGGGATATAGCTAAAGCAGTGCTCAGAGGAAAATTCAAAGGTTTAGTTATTTACATTAACAGATGACAAATCATGAAAGTCAAATGAATTAAGCATCCCACTCAAAAAGTTAAAAAACAACAAAAGAAACCCTAGCCTGCAAATGGCAGCATTGCAAGGTGGCTCAGAGAGAAGACCCTTGCTACGCATTGTAGCTGCACCAGTCGCTGCCTGTGCAATCTTGGGCAAGTTCCATAACCTCTCTGAGCGTTAGTTTACTGTTTACTCTTCTGAAAAACAGAAATAGCAGTACTGTGTACTTCAGAATTATTGACGTAATTAGATAAACTGATACTTTTAAAATGCCGAGCCTGGTGCTTGGCACAGAGTATGCACCACATACATGTATGCTATTATTATTTTTAAGTAAATATGTGAAAATTTAAAAAACAAGAATAGAAAAAAATTCTGGAAAAGATGAATGATAGCAGAGGAGGAGTGGCTTTCTACTTATGAAAAGACATGATAAAGCTATAACAGGTAAAACTGTGCTTATAATAGGTAAAACTCATGTTCAAATAAGTGCCCGAATGGATCAGAATAGAAACTCATATACAGACCCAGATGTGTTTGCAAATTTAGCATATGATAGAGGGAGAATTCCTATGGAGAAAAATGTGGAAATCCTTATTAAATTTGAAAATTCATATGCCTTTTGACCCCCAAATTTCCTTCAAATTCGCTTCTAAGAATTAATCCTAAAGGTAGACCCATACAGGTATGAAATGATTTCGATACAAGGTTACATAGCAAAGAATTTGTTATAGAACCAAAGGATCAGAAACAGCAAGAGGAGACTTTTAAATAAATTACAATATGGTATGAATAATGGAATACTGCACAACCGTTAAGAAGAATGAGTTAGTTCTCTATGAACTGATTTAAAGCCGTCTTCAAGATATGTTGCTTACTTAAAAACGTCAAAGTTTGGAATTGTGAAAAAAGGAAAAAAAAATAGAATTATGGGTATGACATGCTACCAATTGTATTAAAAATGCATAGGTTTAAATGTGTGCGTATATGTAGGTATATATGTGTACACATGCAAGGACACACACACATGTCTTATGCATGGAATATCTCCAGAATAGTACACAAGAAACTGGTAACTGTGGTTCATCCTGGGAAAAGGAACTGGGTGGCTGAGGTGGCAGGAAGATTGACTTTTCACTGTGCTTTTACAGCCTTTATACTTTGGATATATATTAGTTATAAATCTTCAAAACCTGACATTATTTTCATCCTAGTGCTCAGTTTCTATGTGACTACAGGGAATTACTTTACTTCTCTTTTGGCTTACTCATTTCTGTTAAGTAATGACATTCTATTACTAATGACAGCATCTCAGTGATCTTGACTCATAAAATATGATCACACAGATGGAGCCTTGCATTTTGTCATGTACCCTTGGCCAGTCTCAGTTTATAGCAGGCCATAGTACTAATGTGACGTAAACCTTAAAATTTTTCCATCTCTGTGATCTAGGGCTTAGAGATAAAACAAAGAGCTAGAGGTAGACTTTGGCAAATATTTTATATATCTCCGCTGGTCAATTTTTAGAGCGTAATGGTGACAGTTTCCTATAAACCTAATATGGAGGACACATCAGACCTCTAGCTGGTTGCTTAGCTCAAAGAACGAGGCCAATCTGCTCATTTCTGAATTGGAGGATTTGCCGTAAGAACTGCTAGCTGGAGAAGATTGAAGTCTTACATTGTTAACTCTTCTTTGGTCATGTCCATGCCCTGTTGGTGGCCTAGTTGGCAGAGAGCCACATCCGAACTCTCAAAAGCTTTTAAACCCACAGTCACATTGGCAGCCAGTATACACATGTACAAAGAAAGGTTAACCAAAAATGGAAACGGTATTTTCTCCGATGAAGACACCTATTCCTGGAGTGAAAGGGGTTGGACACAGAGAGGGTGCTCAGAGGTTGAGCGTTTGAACACTTATTATCACAGAACAACCGTCAGAGGAATTTAATCTAATCTCCAAGTACTTAATCAGAACCTGTCACTCAGCTGCTGGCCACAGAGGTCAGGGTTATATGGTCTGGCCAGGTGGAGAGAACCACCTGGATAGCATTTTATGTAAACAACACCAAGGGCTAGATCTTATTTCCCTTTTGCAGCGATAGCTGCTCTCGCCTGCCACTTCTGGCCCCTGCAGTAGTCTGCTGGGTGGAGTGGGTTTGATGTGATTCACGATTCCCTGGGGACTCAGTGGGGATTCCATAAGGATCACTTCCTATCCTTTTCTTTCTGTCTTACCTCCCTCACTCCTCCCTTGTTCCCTGAGCTCTTTCCTGCCCTGAACATATAGTAAGTAGCATGGACTTTTCAGCCACAGTCAACACTGTTCCCTCTGCCACGGGTCCCTGCCTTCACCTCCATGCAGACATCTTACTCATCCTTCAAGCCCAGCACTGTCTTCTGGGAAGCCTGACTTTCAGCTCCCACTCTCATTCAGAAAATTTAAACCCTTTTTTCTGGGTTCCTGTGTTTTCTTCACTCCTGGCTGATGCCGTTAACATTAACATTTAGTCCACTGTGTACCAGACATATAGCATAGTGTCCTCTGTCTTTAGTGGAGTGTGAGCTCTGGCAGGGTTGGGACTTCCTAGCACAGTAAAGACTTGTTGAATAAACTGACAAACACAGTCAGTGAGTGTGGCAAGGAGTACATATGTTTTAGTCATTGTCAACAAGTGTTTGTTAAATGGTTACTGTATGCCAAAATGAACAGAGATTAAGTAGAGATTTCAACTTTTAAGCGACCCCTTTTGACGAGGAATGATGACACTTGGTGTCAGGGGAGCAGGTAGAATTGAGGTGAGACTGGGAGGCTGAGCAGAGTATTGATGAGAAGGTGGTGACAGTGACCATGGCTACAAATAGAGGCCAGCGTGGTCCCACTCCTTGATTGTAACAGATGGTCAGCTTGGAAATAACAGGCATACCAGCTATGCTTCTCTCTCTTTTATATTACCTTTTTGGAGATAGTTTTCCAAAATCACATTACTAAACGTGAGACCTCAGCTGCTTGGCATCTTCCGTATACTACTCTTCCTAAGAAAAATGGAATTGATATTCTACATGAGGAAACATCTGGGTCCATTCTAGGAAAGCCCATCAGGCCCAGTATAGCTTCTTCAAGGTTTAAGATGTCCAACAGAGCGCTCCTCTCTGCAAGGAGATCAAGCATGGGCTGGATGTGTTAAATAATATGGGCCTCCCTGCAGAGAAAGGGAGACAGCAAGGGCTCTCCCCTGCTCGTGTAGGTGAGGAGAGGGCCTGTGGGGTGATGGAAATTGTTTAGGGACATACATAGCAAGAGAGAGACAGAGAGAGAGGCCAATTTTAAAGAATTGGCTCATGGGCCTATAGAGGCTTGGTAAATCCAAAATTTGTAGGAGAGGCAAGGCAGGCAGGCTGGAGATCCAAAGAAGAGTTGCAGTTTGAGTCTGAAGGCCAGCTGCTGGCAGAATTCCCTCTGCCTCCAGGTAGGTCGGCATTTACTCTGTTAAGACCTTCAACTTGGCTGGGCGCGGTGGCTCACGCCTGTAATCCCAGCACTTTGGAAGGCTGAGGCGGGCGGATCACCTGAGGTCAGGAGTTCAAGACCAGCCTGACCAACATGAAGAAACCCCGCCTCTACTAAAATTACAAAAAATTAGCTGGGCGTGGTGGTGCATGCCTGTAATCCCAGCTACTCAGGAGGCTGAGGCAGGAGAATTGCTTGAATCCAGGAGGTGGAGGTTGCAGTGAGCCGGGATCGCACC